TTTCTCTGATTGACTTATTTCACTCAGCATAATACCCTCCAGTTCTATCCATGTCGTTGCAAATGGCAAGATTTCGTTTTTTTGATGGCTGCATAATATTCCATTGTATATATACACCACATCTTCTTTATCCATTCATCTGTTGATGGACATCTTGGCTCTTTCCATAGTTTGGCTATTGTGGACATTGCTGCTATAAACATTGGGGTGCATGTACCCCTTTGGATCACTACATTTGTGTCTTTGGAGTAAATACCCAGTAGTGCAGTTGCTGGATCATAGGGTAGCTCTATTTTCAACTTTTTGAGGAACCTCCATATGGTTTCCAGAGTGGCTGCCCCAGCTTGCATTCCCACCAACAGTGTAGGAGGGTTCCCCTTTCTCTGTATCCTTGCCAACATCTGTCATTTCCTGACTTGTTAATTTTAGCCATTCTGACTGGTGTGAGGTGGTATCTCATTGAAGTTTTGATTTGGATTTCCCTGATGCCGAGCAATGTTGGGCACTTTTCATGTGTCTTAGATAACTTACTTTTAATTGGCTCTTTAACCTTTCTGTGTAGAATACCTAAGGTTATGGTACCAGTAAGTACTACTATGGTAGTAGTAAGAAAAGTTATTACTGTTAAATGTGTCCTGTCACTATATAAAATTTTTTGCTTACATTACTTCATTTAATCTTTATAATAACACTATAAAGTGTAATAGGCACACATATCATATCCCCTTGTCCCCAGCTTTATAGATGAGGAAAATTAAGGCTTAGAAAACTTAATGTCACTTGATAATGGATCTTGTGTTCTTAAGCATGTGCTCCTCTGCTTCACTTATGGTAGAAAGCTGTAAATTCTAACATTGCTCCAGGGATTTCTGGGGCTCTTCTGAAATCTGTAAGCCTTTCTAAAATGGCACATTTGCATCTATTGTTGTTTTAAGCCAAATTCTCTCCTCATTGTATTTAGCAGTGGATGTTCTACTTTACAACTAATTAAGAGGGAAAGGACATTCCTTTAATGTCTATTATTATTTTCATATAATTTGCTCAAGTGCCAATAATTTACTTTCACAACTAAATTACTATGTGATTGTTTAGATCACTGTGTATATGCTTGAGTGAATTTAGTATCCCTGTATGTTTATTCTCAGCAGAAGCAAATGACAGGTGAAGTATACCAACTTAGGGTAGACGTTCTGATGAGAATTTGGCTACCCTTCTTTAAATAATTGTTTTTGCAACTGTAGGCATAAGTGTATGACGCCACCATGGAACATGATATTGCTGTTCTAGAGAATCTTAGGGACTATGGCTTCTGAGGCAGTACCAGAACACAGAGACAGTTTGCAGTGAAAATGTTCAATAACTTCTCTAGGTGTTTTGATACTCATATGTGATGGTGATAACCACATGTATTTATCAGCTTAAAATTCATATTTGTTCAATTCTGTACTTAGGTAGTAAAAAGTACTTTCTCCTAGGCATAGAAGCATGAACAGTTATAACAAGTTAAGAATACCACTTAGTCCTTTGTTCATGGTTGATTTGGAGATCACATAGATAATCTACATAAGCAGTCTTGCTATCTTATATATTTATATTCAGACATTACACTAGGAATTCATTGATGTGGATATAACTGGTTTCAGCAGTTTAGGGAGTCTTATAATCATGGATTTAAAGGTGACCTTGTAGATCAACTAGTTAAAAGGGTTTTAGGGTTTAATTCATTTGCTCAAGAACATAAGTTAGTGGCAGACATGGTAGGGAAGAAAGCACAAGAGGTAACGTGTCAGAGAACTGAGGCATGCCGTATGTATGAGAAAGGAGTTAGAAGGGAAATCAGGATGATGCACTAGAATAGCTTTGTGACCTTATGGGAAAAAAGTCTGAACTTTTTTAATGCAAGTAAGTAGGTCTTATTTTCTATGTATAATATGAGGGTGTTAGACCAGATTTTTAATATCCTTTATCTCTTCAAAAATTGGATGATATCTAACTACTTTTCCTCTAGAGCTTGAAATATTTTTTATTTTGCTGATTATCAAATGACTATATAAAATATTTTTGGCTGTTGATGAAGTAGGAGTGTGTCTACCACCATTAACATTTTTCTTTTAAATAGTTGCATAATATTCTCTTGTTTCATTGGTGAATATATTATTTACCAACCCATCAACTAAATGGACATTTAGATTGTTTCCCCTTTTTTACTATTAAACATGGCTGTGGTATACATTATCTTCAAAACTGCTCATGTAAAGTACACTATTCGGTAATTTTTTGACACATCTGTGGAACTGTTACCATAATCAATATAGTGTATGTATCCATTGCCCCCAAAAGGCTTCCTCCTACTCAGTGTAATCCTTTTCTTCTTTTCAACCCTTCTTTCCTCAGGTACTAAACTGAAGGCTAGTTTGCATTTTGTAGAATTTTATGTAAATGCACTTATGTATTATGTAGTCTTAAAAAAATCTGGCTTCTGCCTTCAGCTCAGGTCATGATCCCAGGGTCCTGGGATCAAGTCCCGCATCAGGCTCCCTGCTCAGCAGGGAGTCTGCTTCTCCCTCTCCCCCTGTTTGTTCTCTCTCTGTCTCTCTCGCAAATGAATAAATAAAATCTTTAAAAAAAAAAATCTGGCTTCTTTAGCACAATATTTTT